TGGACAGCGCCAAGGACGAAGAGAAGAAGTCTGCCGAGGAAGAAGTAGCGCAGAAGAAAGGAGAGGCTGAGACGACGGCGCAGGAAAAGCCCGACGTGGAGATGAGAGATGCTGAGAGCGCAGACGACGCGAAACCTCCCGCCGACACCGCCGCTGCGCCCACGCTTGCCAAAGAGTCTGCACCCGAAGAATCCACCGAGGCCAAGGCCGAGGAGAAATCTGAGGAGAAGAAGACCGAGGAGAGCAAACCCTCCTCCCCCAAGGACATTCAAAAAGACGTCGATGCCGATGCCGATGCCGATACCGTCATGACCGAGGACAAGCCCGCCGTCAAGCCCGAGGAAGAGGCTGCGAAGCCCAAGCCCAAGGTTGAAGAGGCTGCAGCGACGGCGGCTGCATCATCCGAAGTCGACCTTGGATCTCCGAGCATCTCAAAGCTGGCCATTGACGCCACGTCGCCAGCCGCCGATACCTCGATCGAGGTGTCCATGGCTGACGCGCCCGGCTCAAGCTCAAAGGTTGCCAGAGAGCGAGACGAGGAAATGGAAGACGGACCGGCTGCCAAGCGGACCAAGACTGAGACCCAGGGCGACGAAGGCGCCGCGACGGCAACCCCTTCGGCCGAGAATGACATTGCTGCTACTGACGCTCCTGCTTCTGCTAATGACAGTGGCGTGGATCGCCTTGCTTCCATTGCAAAGTGGAAAGACGCATCGGTTCTCGACAAGAAGATCACGCCGTTCCAGCGCCGCGAGATCCGCAAGATCATTGGCAGGGTCAAGAAGACCAAGCACGGTGGTCACTTCCGGGACTCGGTGCCCAAGCTGTGGCCGGCGCTGGGAGAGTCGTACTTGGCGCGGATTGAAAGGCCCATGGACCTGGGCGAGATTGATCGAGGCCTGCGCGACCCCAACCCCATCTACGCTACGTTTGGCGACATGAGGAAGGACTTGGGGCTCATCTACGAGAATACCCTGACCTTTAACGGCGCCCAGCACGAGGTCACGGACGCCGCATTCTACGCAGTACGAAACGTGTGGCAGGAGTCCGTCGCGATCCCCGAAGAGGAGCCCGCCCGGCCCAAGTCTGTGGCCAAGCCGAAGCCCCCGCGCGAGCATCGCCTCATGTCCGGCCCCGAAAACGCCGTGCGGCGGCAGTCCTCGGGCCCGGCATCTAGCCCGCCGCCGCCACCGCCGCCCGTCGCCGATGTCAAACCACCCAGGCCGCAGGCCGCAGAGCCCAGCGCGGATCGTCGAGGCTCCATCGCCGACGCCGACAGGCCAAAACGGACGGTAAGGGCACCGAAGCCCAAGGATATCGATTATACCACTAAGCCTTCTC